TTATTGGAATCATATTTAGTTCATATCAATTTATTTCTTGTCAAAAAAAGGAGCTCAGTACCTCTTAAACAATCCATAAAGACATTCCAGGTTGGTAACTCCATGCCAGAGTAGAAGACATCTTCCGGGTTATATACCTTTTAGAATTTATCATAAGATTGGCTTAAGCCAGACAATTATCTATCGGTATGTTTAATGTAAATCAGCTTTCTTTTTTCATACTCTTCATCTATCTCTGCTTCTCTTCCCGATCTAGGGCGAACTACTTGGCTTGTTCTCTTCAGCCCAGGCCTGGACGCATGTTGCCTCGGCCCTCCAAGATCTCTCCTGAGGATTGGTGGCGCCTAACACGAAGTACAGGAGCTCAACACATAGCTAGTGTAAATGAATGTCACCGGGCCACAGGAAGTCGGAGTAAGCTGGTACAAGCCGAACAATTGCTGCTCAAGCAAAGTGGGCTGATGGCCAACTTTAACCTTATGAACATCCTCTTGCATAGTAATGTGAAGTCAAACCGAATTAATCTTATGCACTCGTTTAGCCAAACCAAATAATTATCAGCAGAATGTGGCCAAAATTCGCTCACCTTCAGTTCTACATTATCTACATCCCAATTCAATTACGTGCCTAACTATCCATCTACCCTCCATTTAATCGGGCAGGCAGATAATCAACGAAGAAACCAAAATAAACTTTAATTATAGGATTATTAACCAATATTACTATTTCCATATTTCTACCTTCTTAATCCTCCTTCAATCAGCTCAATAATAAATTAACTCGTCCATCCGTCAACTTACCCATCGTTCCGTCCATGTATCCATCATTCTATAATTCCATCAGTCTACTCAATATTAGTTTATTTTACCTTATGGTCTTTCTCTCTTATCTTCTATTGATCCTAGTGATACCGGTGAGCTGCTTGCTCCATCCATAATGGGATGCCTGGAGGTCCCTCACATTTTACGCCCTTAGTTGTACCACACAGAAATTATCGCGTTTCCATGACGTCTTGGTTTTGCCTCCAAAGTCCTTAGCCATAGAGCCGCCAAATGTAATTTATCATTCAAACACTTTAGCATTTCTCCAACTCCTTATTTATATGCAACAAAATTAATGAAATCATCCGATGTGACAGTGGCGCTCACAGATGGAAAATTACACAATTCCCAAACAAATGTAAAGATTTAAAGAAAAATCGGCCCAATCCTAATCCCAGTTAACGGATTCCAAGGCGATGTGCTACTTTCAAATGATGAACTAAACGAATTTTCTAACGACTAAATTGAAGATTTTATAAATCAAACACTTGAACATGGAAAAAACAAAAATATACTACGCTACTCGCAATATTTGTATTCCTTTCTGAATAATGAGTATGCATCGAGGTGAGAAAATTTTTCCTGCTTAACAACGGAACATGAAAACCGCATAAAAATATTTCAGCCTTGCCTTTTTCATTGTAAAGTCATCATATAATTACT